GCTGAACAATATGTTAGAGACATTTAATAGTATTATTGTTGAAGCTAGGGCTAAACCACTAGTAACAATGCTAGAGGAGATCAGAACTTACATGATGGAGAGATGGGAAAAAAACATAATGAGGTTCCAAGATATATTTGGTAATGATAATTTTCCCAACATTAGAAAGAAGATGGACATAACAAGTGCCTACACAAACTTATGGCTTGTCAGGTATGGTCAGTTGTTGTTAACTATTAATTGTTAAATGTTAATTGCAAACTGTTAATTGTTAACTGTTAACTGTTAAATGTTAATTGCAGATTGTTAATTGTTAAATGTTAATTGCTAAATATTAATTTCAGACTGTTAAATGTTTTATTGTTAAATGTTAATTTTAGAATGTCAGATGAGTATATGTTTGAAGTAAGGCATGTCGAAAACCCAGCTGAAACATTCACTGTGAACTTGAAGGATTACTTGTGCTCTTGCAGAAGGTGGGAACTCACAGGACTTCCATGTGTCCATGTCATGTCAGCCATGAAGAGTAGGAATTTTAAAGTTGATGATTACATTCCAGATTATTATAGGGTATCTAGGTACAAGGCAGTATATAGGTTTGTGCTTTATCCTGTGAATGGATCCAATTTGTGGGCTAAAACTTCATATCCTGATGTGCAGTCACCTAAGTTTAGAAAGATGTCTGGTAGACCAAAGAAAAAGAGAAACCTTGAGCAAGGGGAGATTGATGGCACTGACAGAAAATTGAGAAGAACTGGTTTTGTTGTAAATTGTTCTTTGTGCAATAAAACTGGACATAACAAGAAAACCTGCAAAGTCAATGCAACTCAAGACACTGCATCTCAAACCACTGCAGCTCAAGGCAACGCAAGTCAAGCCAATGCTACACAAGGCACTGCATCTTAAACCACTACAGCTCAAGGCAATGCAAGTCAAGCCAATGCTACATAAGGAACTGCATCTCAAACCACTGCAGCTCAAGGCAATGCAAGGCAAGGGCAGGCAACACAAGACAATGCATCCCAAACCACTACAACTCAAGGCAATGCAAGTCAAGGAAAGGAAACACAAGGCAATGCATCTCAAACTAATGTAGCTCAAAGCAATGCAAGGAAAGGAAACACAAGGCAATGCATCTCAAAGCAATCCAACTCAAGGCAAGGCAAGGTAAGGCAACACAAGGCTCTGCAAGGCAAGGCAACACAAGGCTCTGCAAGGCAACTCAATGCAAGTCACATTGGGATCAATGTAAGTTATATTGGGACAATAAAAGTTTCTGAATCTCAAACCACTGCAAGTCAGGTTGCAGAAACATAAGCATCAGTTGCACAGGGTTACATGAATGCAACTCAGTCTTCTCAAGGAAAGTTAGTACCAGGGAAAGGCACAAAGGAGAAAGATAGTGGAACTGGAAAGCTACAAAAACTAGGTGTGAGAAGGCCCTTTGTACCCCCTGGACCAAAAACAAGACTCTCATCAGCCATGAATGCAACTAGCCCTACCACCAGGCGATCTACTCCAACCAAGAGAAGCACATCAAAGAGGACCATCTAGTTATCATTTTAGGGTTTATGTATTTTGGAACATGTCTATGTAACATGTCATTCTGTCCACCTTTTGGAATATTTCATTCTATCAAGCTTTTGAAAAATATCTACGTAACATGTCAGTATTTTGGAACATACTTATGTAACATACTTATGCAACAGATGCCAACTACCTATTTTCAGTTTAACTAATCTGTTGTTTTCATTTACTAACAAAATGTGCCCAAAATTATGTTGCTACAATTAACAATATGCCAAATTGATCTGCTTTGATTAATGATATGCCAAACAAAATAATTCTTATTAAACTGATAACATATGTTAAAATTACACATAAGCTTGCACATTAATTTCCCAAATAGATAAAATTACACACAAATTGCTACATACTCCTACTTATAATACAAATTAACAACAAATACACATAACACTACAAAACACAAAATCTTCAATGTTTTTTTCCACTTTAACATCTTGTTGAGTTGAATTTGAAGTTCTAACACAACATCCCCTAATTCTTCATTTCTAAACCTCAAATTTTCATACTGATTCTTGGTTTCATCTAAATCTTTTGCTATGTTTTTCAATCTATTACTCAAGACTTGGTCTATGTCTTCTGCCAATTCCTCATGAAACCAATGGAAGAAGCCACATCCTCTTTGCAAGGAGCCCTGTAAATTTCACAAACTGCTTAAACTCTGTTTACATCTTCTAACATACCCAAACTAAAATTAGGGCTTACCTTGTAATTGTGACAACCCCAAAATTTCCTTCCAAAATTCTTCTCAGTCGTTGCCCTACGTAGAACATCGTTGTCTCCGCAACGGCAAAGTGGTGCGATCCGTGAGCTACTGTATACACCTGACCCAACACTTTCTGATTGATAGAGCTTCGTTGGAGAAGATGAATGCTTCATATTCATGGAGAAAGGGAAGAAGATGAAGAAAGTACAACAATTTTTGGGAAGGAGAACGTTAACAAAATTTTGTGAAGGAGATTTTGAACCACTATCAAATACGATGTCTGCATGTAAAGATGAAGAAGAAAATTGTCAGCTCACTTGCCACATCACGCAAATAAACGGTTGGAGGCCAATTAACGGAAGGACTAACGCAATTGCATTTTGAAACTTAAGAGACCATTTTAGCACAAAAAAGAAGAAGATAAGGGACCAAAGTGAACCATGACCAATAGTTAAGGGACCAAAATGAGTATTTTTCCTATAATTTAAAACATTTTCTTTTAATTTTTTTTGAATAAAAAAAGGAGAATTAAAATGATAAAAAACGATTAAAAAAAGGATACTTAATTAACTGAAAAATTAAATATACACATTAAAATAAACTACACATTCTAAATATTAATAAAAAATTATTTAAATGGTAAAAAATGAGATTAAATGAAAATAGAAATACTCTGCCGCAATACGCTGACGATTAAGAACGAGACTTCAAATTGTACCAGAAAAATAAAGCAAGCACACCGTCATGATCTACGCGAAACATAGATTCATAAAACAATCAGTTAAATGTGAAAACTTGAAATATTTTCTCGCTCATTTTCCGTCCAATGTCGAATCACTTTTAGCAATATGTCCATAAAACTGAAATATCAATATTATTGACATATAAACAACTTGAAGCAACACGAGAAGCAGGTAAAGAGATGATAAAAATATATGAAATATCAAGTATTTTTCAACTATAAAACGATACAAATGTCGAATTAAACAGACTTTTGATCAACTTAAATATGACTAATGATACGAAATATGATGAATGAAGATATTTATTAAAGATTGTGACCAAATAACAAAAAATCATATGATAATGTGATTGAAAAAATTAAGGAGCAAAATTTAGAGTGCAATAATGGAGTTGCTAAAGGCTCGCCCATGCTAATTGCTTATGGAGGTATTTTCTAGATGATTCGGCTAATCATTTGGCTAGTTTTTGCACTTTTTTTGGATGCGGGGACTCCAGAATTAGATGAGTTTATGGTTGCTTTAATTGTTATTGGGAAAGCTAAAGAGATGAATTGGAATAAGTTGTGGATTGAAACAGATTGCATTCTAGTTGTGCAAGCTTTCTCAAACTTTAATTTGGTGAAGTGGAAAATTAAATCTCGTTGGCTTAATTGTTGGGTGTACACTTTGAGTATCGATTTCATGATCACTCATATTTATAGAGAAGCCAATTTTTGTGCAGATTTTCTTACTAATCTCGATTTACAAACCAAGAATTTCACTTGTTTTCATCATGTCCATAGAGATATTGTTAGGGTTACTTATTAGACAAGGTTGGTACCCCTGGACTTAGACTTTCCCCTTAAGGGGTCTTGCTTCGGTCCCCCTTTGTGTATTTTGTTTTCCTTTTTGTTTAATAATATTTCTTTTGATTTAAAAAAAAAATAGTATCTCGTTATTTTATAAACTCTCTTGTTAAATTCATTAAAAGACATGCTAATAAAATTGTTCATACTTTACCAATAGTAGACATGGCAATAGGGCGAGACGAATGCGAGTTTAAGCACACTCAAATCTGCGCCCGCTTCCCAAATCCAGATCTGCACCTGCCCCCAAATCTGTTTGGGGCTAAAAATATTCTCCCGCCCCCACTCGCAACATGAAACGGGTTTCCCCGCACCCAGCCCGCCTCCACTCGCATAAATTAATTTTTTTTTAAAAATTTTTTTTTTCTTCCATAATAATAAAAATTAATAATTAAATTAAATAATTAATTATTTTAAGAATAATTATAATGTTTTATAATTTTTATTTAAATTATATTTTCAAAAAAATTAAAAATAAATATAATAAATATGATATTGTAACATTAAAAAATATAAATGAATAATAAAATTATTAAAAATAAATTAAATAAATTAAATTAAATAAGCAAGTCGGAGTGAGAGTGAGTGCAGGACAAATACTAATATTCTCCCCCGTTTCCGCAACTAAAGATCAAGTTTTCTCTACCTCGCATCCAACTCCATTTAAATTGGATTTTTCTTATTAATTTTGAGACTGGAACGATCAAAGCTCGGCCAAAACAGATATATTTGCCATGCCTAACCCAGAGTAACCCCATCTTTGCCTAACCAATAGTAACCCCATCTTTCTCTCATTTTTAAAATTTTAGATTGATATTGCAACATATATTTAAAAGTTTCTTATTAATGATATGAATTATATCATTAAAAAAACATAGGGAATAGTATAATAGATAACAAGACAAACATGAATGCACTTTAAGCATTTGGACTAAGTGAGTTACTCTTGACTTACACACTCTTTCTACCGTTACTACAATTCTTCACTTTGTCATCCCATCCGTTATTTTATTTCTTCCCCTTAAAAACAGTAAACCTTTCGTTTTCACCTTTGAAGCTACCTTTATAACACCACTATCTATCCTTCCAATTACCACATTATTAGTGACTCTCATCCAAGCCATGTCTCCTTCCATCCTTCTTCTCCTTACTCTATTCGCAATTGCAGGTCACTTCCTTCTTCTTTATTTTTCTTTTCTAACCATTAGTAACGGTTTACCACTACTATCATTCTTTTCATATAAAAAAGTATTATAACAATATCTCTGTTGCAAAAGCTTTTACGACCCTGATGAGATCATTTTCTAAAGCCTGTGTTACTTTCTTTAAAGGAATTTTTCTCGGGAAAGAGCGAAAACTAACTTTCTTTAACTTTTTCGATATTCTTGCAGACTCGCAGTCCTTCATCGGAGTTAACTACGGTCAGATCGCCAACAATCTTCCAGCACCGGAAGTCTCCGCCAGGCTCCTCCAATCCACCACCATCGGGAAAGTTCGCATATACGGCGCCGATCCCGCAATAATAAAGTCTCTTGCTAACACCGGTATCGGAATCGTCATCGGAACCGCTAACAGCGACATTCCGATTCTAGCGTCCGATCAAAACGCAGCAAAACAGTGGGTGAACACGAATGTCTTGCCTTATTACCCTGCCAGTAACATCATTCTGATCACCGTCGGTAACGAGGTTTTAACCTCCCCCGATCAGGGACTTGTTTCACAGCTCGTTCCGGCAATTCGAAATGTCCAAACTGCCCTCAGCTCGGTGGCGCTTGGCGGTAGGGTGAAGGTGTCTACAGTACATTCCATGGCGGTGTTGTCTCGCTCGGATCCACCTTCGTCCGGGTCGTTCAACCCGGGTTTACAAAACACACTGAATCAGTTACTTGCGTTTCTGAGGGATAATAAATCGCCGTTTGCGGTTAACCCGTATCCGTTTTTCGCTTATCAGAGTGACCCGAGACCCGAAACGCTTGCGTTTTGTTTGTTTCAATCTAATTCGGGTCGGGTTGATTCGGGTAACGGAAAGCTTTATACCAATATGTTCGATGCTCAGGTACATGTCTCTTTTTCCTTTTTTCAAATTTTCTCTTTTTTACTTGTTTAATTAATTCATTAATAAATGAGAAGTTTATCGAAGAGACACTCTTTCTGTTTTTCCACGTTATATTCGCACGTGTTGCTAGAGTTACGAAAAGTATAATATTCCTTTTCGGTCATGTTTTTTTTTGTTATAAATGATCCTGATATAGTTGTGACTTGTGATTAAACAAAAATATTACTCTATCTTTTTTTAAGTGTTATTTTTAAAATATTTTTTTAATTGTTCTCGACAAAATTAAAAGTAACATTAATTATATTTTTTGTTAAAATTATTTCTAATTACTTATTATAGAGATAGAGAAAAAACTAAATATATATGATAAATAATTAAGAATATTATAAATAAAAAAAATTATTGTAACAAAAGTAATAATAGTTATTATATTTCTTAGTATATATAAAATGTCTAAAAATAACAATTAAAAAACGGAAAAAAATATATTATTTATTTATTAATTTATTCTTATTGCGCACATGCACTTTATTTTTACCTTTCTACTTTAGAATATGAAGAGGCCTGTTTGAAGATTTTCATAAACTAGACTTTGTTATATATTTGTTGTACATTGACACAGACCTTTTATTTTTTTTCATTGTAAATCATTTGAGTGTGTAATACTTTTTAAAATTAAAAAGTGTGAAAGTTAAAAACATTGAAAAACATAAGTTTCCAACTCAAATATTAGTGAAAATTAGAGTCCTAAAAATATGCTATGTTAACGTATTTTTTACTCTCAGTAATATATTTTGTTCATAAATTTTTACAATTTTATTTTTATGTCAAAGAATAAGAATCTTACATTCTCATAGAAATATAAAATAATCAATCATAACTTCTTACTTATATTATTTTAATATATTTATTTTTTAGTTCTTAAAATTAAATTAAAATAAGAATTACAAATATTTCTGAGAATTTTATTCATTTGTCAAATACATTGATAGAAATAAAGTTTCTGACAATAATATTTTCAGGAATAATATTCTCAGAATTATGATTTTAATTCATCAAACAAACATACTCTTATAGACAAATAACTAATATTAATAAATTATTATAGTAAATTTTAAAACTATTTTTTATCATAAATTATTCTATAATATGTTCTGTTTGAGTTTAGATGACTTAAACTCTCCTTATTGAACTTGTGGAAATGTTAGATGTGAACTATTTGTTTTGTAGTCTAGTGTAACCCTAGTTTTAAATAAAAATGAAGTTATTCTTATCTATCTATCTATAATTGAGAATGCTGTCTTATGTTTCATTTGTTTGGTTTTCCACCGTAAAATAATGAGTCCATAGATTATTATTACACGTCATGAACTTTGATTGGAGACAGGCTGGCATAGATAAAGTGGTCACAAATATAACAAGTCCTTCCAAACTCTCAATAATTGTTTAGGAATAGTAAAGAAAATAGACCCATAGTAATACTAGGAGTAAACAATATGGTAATGGTACGTAGACCCTTACCCTTTTTTCATCTCATTGAATAAAGAGGTACACAAGTTTCCAATAGAAGTACTCGTACTATTACTGGCATATTGTGAAAGATATACTGGCACATTGTGAAAGATAGGCTTTAACTTCCTTGGTGATTTTTTTTGAGCAGGTTGATGCCGTGCATTCTGCTCTGAATGCAATGAAGTATGACGACATTGAGATTGTGGTTGCTGAAACAGGATGGCCTTCTAGTGGGGACAGCCATGAAGTAGGACCAAGTGTTGAAAATGCCAAGGCCTATAATGGAAACCTTATTACTCATCTTAGATCATTAGTTGGTACGCCTTTGATACCTGGAAAGTCTGTGGACACATACATTTTTGCACTCTATGATGAAAACCTCAAATCTGGCCCTGGATCCGAACGCGCTTTTGGCCTCTTCAAAAATGATCTTACAATGTCATATGATGTTGGCTTGGCCAAGTCTAGCCAAAAGGTGAGCAAATCGCTATTATTTAAGTCATTAGTCGTATAATGTTTGTTCCTAATTCGGTGTCTGAGTGTTGGAAAACTCGTATATGATTTTTCACAGAATCCGCCGCCAACTAGTCCAGTTACTCCAGCACCTAGCACTACATGGTGTATTCCAAAAGCAGGAGTTTCTGATGCTCATTTACAGGCCAATATTGATTATGCATGTAGTCAAGGATTAGATTGTAGACCAATACAACCGGGAGGAGTGTGTTTTGATCCCAACACATTACAATCTCATGCTGCTTTTGTAATGAATCTCTACTACCAAACATTTGGTAGAAATCAATGGAACTGTGATTTCTCTCAAACAGCAACACTCACATCCCAAAATCCAAGTAATGTCTCTTGACACTTTTTCCTCGTGATCAAGTCTTTGTTTCAATGATGCTTTTGTTGTGACCAATAAAAAAACATCATAAATTTTGTTGTCTAACTTGCTTTTCTTCATTTTCTTGGTAGGTTACAATGCTTGCAATTATGTTGGTGGGAGTACCTGAAAAGCACAGAAGTTTCAGTTTGACCGTAGTATTAATTTTGTCAAAATAAAGTAGTATTAATTTTAATCTTAGTTTAATCAACAATTAAGGACTTATCCTCGGCCCTTTTTTATTTATAACCTTTTAATTTAGTATGGCTTTAATTGTAAAGGCATTTCGATTATGTCTTATTCTATTTCTTAATAATATATGCTGCTCTATATTGTGTGATGGGCAATCTATTTTTCATAGATTATATATCTATTAGTGAGTTAAGTGGGAAAATAAGTAATCAAATTATTGAAATGATTGTTATGTAAAATATAATTTTCATATATCAAACAATTTAGCAAACAGAGTTTAATTTGTATTTGCCAGGAATGTACACAGATGCGTTTCTCTAATAATCAATTACTCACACCAAACTTATCTCAAATACATACCAATGTACACACGATGGACTAGTTTGTTGAAAAAACATGTATATTGATTGTACTTGATGAAACATGTAGACGCTCTCAATCTCAACCAATCACTTTTAGACTAATGGGAATGAATTACCGGATAAACCTTCATATTTGAATTCACACTTAATCAATCCATCAACACAACATTTTTAATACTAGCAAAGTGAGTTGAGTATTCCTTTTGTTATTGATTCTTCAAGTTTGGCACAGAATTTAAAATTATTACAAGATTTTGAGCTGACCAACAAAAGATTATCCATCATTTACCTCCAACCGTGCCTCCGCACGGTTTTGTTGGAAAGAAAGACGAATTGTGGAAGAAAAGAGAAATTAGGGTTTGAGAAAAAAAGAGAAGAAGAATATTCTATAGAGTTTCTCTCTGCTTTCAAACTGAAATTTTATTCAATTTTATTCAGCTTCATCATGAGATAATCATATTTTCAATTAAAGATATGTATATGTCGTTGATGTTGTTATTGATGTTGTTTGTTAATAAATAGTTTTTCATGTGCAGCTAGCTAGCTAGCAAGTAACTATGGTTCTTTACTTATCAATGAGGTAGTTGGTTGTGTAAACATGGTCTAAGATAGTTGCGAACTTCTGTTTGTTGTGGAAATATTATATGAGTTTTTCATATAATATTCTCATAGTTAGACACATGTTTTCTACTTTTCCTTCTACTTTATCTTCTTCATAGCTTCCAGGAACATTAGTTATCAAGTTCTCCCAATCTATGATAATTAATTGATGTTTTTGTTAGTGAGGTTTTATATATATCATATGTTGATTGTTTGGTTCACTAACCCTTCATTAAACTTGCATTCTTTAAATATACTTTTGAGATAATAATCAGACAAATTAAATTATTCTTGAAAATCAAGTTAGACGATCCAATGTTTTTTTTCGAATTGCATGCATCTTGTAAATCATAATTTCCTCTTTAGCCTATAGAATTTGATTCAATGCCACAAATTCTTCAAAATAATGATGATAAATGGACGTCAGTCTAGAATTTTCACACAAAGCTTGATGTTTGCAAAATAAACTAGAAAAAAAAGAAGAGAAAATCAAATTTTGTGTGAAAGACTTAGAAGACATTCATTCATCATTATTACTTTGAAGAATTTGAAATTGAATCAAATTCTATGGGTAATGAGGAAATCATGAACTATAATATGCATGCAATTCGAAAAACATTGAATCGTTTAAGTTATTTTTCAAGAATAATTTAATTTTTCAGATTATCATCTTAAAAATCTATTTGAATGTTTATATATGATTAATGAGGGACAAGGAAAAACAAGCAATCACATATTTTATAATACTCTTACATATACTACAACTGTTTGAACATATAACTATGGTAAAATGTAATTTTTTGAAGCGCTTTAATTTTGGTTGCAGCTGGATATCAAATTCATGATCTTATATTTATGACAACGATTGTTTACGTCAACCATTGTGATAGATGTAGCAGTGAAAAGTTGAGATTAAGCTATTGATTTATTTAAGTCACAAAGTGAAAGTCGCCACCATACTTTATTATTTTCAAAGGAATGGGAAAAAAGCGAATAAAATCTAAAGAAGTTTTTGACACAAAAAAACTAATAAAAACAAAGATCTAGGTAAGGGGGGTTGGTTATACAAAGGGAATGTATTAGCATCCTAAATATCTATGGTACTCCGCATGAACCTCTTTGAAAATATGTGTATTTGACTAAAATAAGTTGTTTGAAAAAAATTGTAGAGATGAGAAAAGAAATGGTTTTTACAATTTTCATTCGGCAAGACCTCAATGAGCCATGTGCCTACATATCACCAATATGAAATAATGAAATCACAACCACATAGTTCTTCAAAAAAGGGAACAAAAGTTGTCTATTGATTAATTTTAAGAGAATAGACATTTTGTCATCTTAGAGAGAATACTCAATCAAATATCCTTAAACATGTGAATGATGGACATATGCATCACAAGTGAAAAGAGGGCTCCAACCTGAATAACTCAACAGGTATGCCACTAACCCATTCAAGTAGAAAATATTTAACATCATATCAATCACGGTTATGGACATAGGAGGATTATATCTCAACCTTAGAGATGACTCACATCTAATCTTTGAGAAAAAAATTTAAAATCAAAAGCCAAATGACAAAAAGTTTGAAGTGGGGTTTTGTATTTTGTAGTCTTTGAAGAAAAGAGTTAGACTTTGGTTAAATGAATTAAGATTTAATTAAGAAAATATTTTTAAAATGCATGGACCTAAGTATAAGTTTATTATGAAAGCATTCAAGTTTGAAAACAAGAAGAGTTTTTGAAAAGAAGGGAGAAGATTTTGAAATTAAAGAAGATGAGCAAGAGATGAAGGGACTACCCTAAAGCATAAAGTAAAAGTTAAGGTAGGAAAGATCTAACCAAACAAGAAGCCAACACTTAAAATAATAAAGTCAACATAATATTATCATCCTTTGGATTAAAGCCACACACAATAAAGTAATAAACATCAAATGAATAATAAGTTCTTCAGGTGTAAACTTGCATCAGATAACTTGACGTCGCTGATAAATTATCGTTGTATCAGATGAAATTTTAAAGTAACACATGCACACAAAAAGTTTTTCTATGAACAAACAAAATAACAACAAAGTCTCAAGATCCAAAGGTCCCAAAGTCTCAAGGTCCTATCTTAAAGTCCACCGAGTCCAAATACTCTAAGGTGCAAAGGGATAATAACCATAGTCTAAAGAGAGCCTTAAGTCTTTTAATATTCAAGTTGATTATTAATTTTTTTAAAAGAAAAAGAATCCTCAAGTGAGCAAAAGAAATATATCAATAAAATAAAATGCTCAAGTGAGCAAAAGGAAAATGACATAAAATAAAGAGCAAAAAGATAAATGACAAGAATGATAAAGATGTTAAAGTAAAGAGCAAAAAAGTAAAGGCATAAAGTAAATTGCGAGGAGTATAAATGACAGAAAAGTAAAGGTGCAGAAAATTAAATGTTAGTACAATTAATAGTTGGTGTTAGTAGTTAATTTTCTGATTCAGGATAATTTTGCGCTATGTTAAGCAATCATAACTGAACTTATATAGAAGTTACACCTATCTAAGATCAGACCAAAATAATATAGGAATATTACATATAATGCACACCATGGTTTAAAAGCAAAAGTGATCAAGATCTAAGTCATGGAGATGAGATCATTACATCAATTAAATCCTTCAAGATACCTTAGGACAAACTTATCATCAATCCAAAGTACCTTATGTGATCAATTGATCACTTAGAGGAAGATTTGAAATGATGAAAGATCATCAAGTACCAGTCTTGATTCACTGAACAAGATGAATCATCAATCATCCAATTATCCAAAAAAATAAAAAGTAAAAAGAAATAGATGGAGCAGAGATAACTTGAGTAAGAAAGTAAATCCCAAATTAGATCAAAGAATTGGTTAAATTATTATCAAAATCATTCATCCATCTCGGTGGATTATGATTTTCACCTCATTAACACCCAATATCCAAGGCTAGTCAGTCAAACAAAATTTAAAATGCAATTAAACAATTAATAAATGCATAAAAAGATATTTTTAAAATGATTTTAAAGTGAAAATAAATGGTAAAATACCAAAATATAATTAAAACATCAAATAAAAATAATGTGAGACCATAGAAAAATAAGAGAGGGTCTATAATATTTTTGGAAAATAGTTTCATTATTTTTGAAAATCAAAACCTAATTTTAAACCATTAAAAATAAAAATAAAAATAGATCTAAAAAAGATAAAAACATAGTAAAAAAAAATCAAATAAAGTCACCATAAGTCAGAAATCATCATTGAATCATATAGTATTTTTCTCAGAATTTAAAAGTGTGAAAAAAAATTTTAAACCAATTAACACTAAGCAAACATTAAAAATTATAAAAAAAATAGTAAACATCAAAATAAAATTCTGATAAAATATTCACAAGATCAGAAGTATTATAAAATATTTTTGTGTAATTTTTCATATTTTTTGGATAAAAAAGGATATAGTTATGAATTTTTTAAAACAAAATGAATTTAAAACATTTTTGTAAAATAAAAACAAATCAGAAAAATGTGGAAGCGTTGGATCCAAGTCACTTAAGCATGCTTGCACGTAAAACGATGAGAGGTGATGATGTATGGTGGACACAAGTCAAAACACGCGCATCAGATCAAAAAAAGTTACACCAATCAGATTATTTCATTTGTCACACTTTCATTGGTTGAAGTGATCCACATATCTTCAACCTCCAGCCTCATCCTTTTGCAGAAAATTTAAGGCAAATCGTATCTCAAGAAATAGGATTCCATTGCTCATGAGGCTGGTATAATTAGAAGCGTTTCATCAAGACGATCTTAACCATGCCCTTGCGAAAAATTTATTCAATCTATAGGCTACTCGATGTAAGAAAAACCAAAAGAGTTTGCAAACACAAAATTCAAAAATAGACACATTAAACTGATCAATTAATGAAAACTAATGATGCAGTAAGCATCAATACACATCAAGGATCATCACAG